GAGCTGGAGGAGGACTTCACTACAAGCCGACCACCTTCCTCACGTCTTCGAAGGAGGTTGCAGCGGCTTTGGATGGGTTCAGGTGCGACCGACGACATCATCATGAAGCAGTGATTGGTGGCAACAAGGTGACACGCCTTGCAGGTCACTATCCACCCCTTCTCGCTGAGACTCTGCTTGAAGGCATCGAGCGAGAATGGTCAATGCTTGAGATCAATGTCATTGAGGAGTTGGACGACGAGAACCCAGGCGGTGGAGATGATGGTGGTGAAGATGATGGAGGACCCCCCGGACCTTCAGATGAACCGGATGGCCATGATGGAGACGACCATGATGGCAACGGGGACCACTTCATGCTGGACAACCCGGCCGAGCAGGAGGATGAGGATGATGATGTGGTGGTGTCTGGTGATGACAAGCCCACAGCAGGTGATCGCAAGATGGCAAAGCATCTTCATGAGGTGACAGGCCATCGACCCCCACTTCGCCTGGCTCGAGCTTTGCTGATCGCAGGAGCAGATCCGATGTTGATCAAAGCTGCAAAGGAGCATAAGTGCGAGATCTGTCATGAGACCAAGCGGCCTGGCACGAGAAGGCCAGCTAGCTTGCCTCGAGTCAGGAACTTCAACGACCACCTCTATGCCGACCTGATCTCCGTCCATGACAGCCATGGTGAGACTTACTGGATTGCTCACGCCGTTGATGCCGCTTCCAGGTACCAAGTTGCCAAGGTGCTGGAAGAGAAGAGCGGGCTGGAAGTCATCAAGTTCTTCCAGGAGTGCTGGTTCAATACCCTCGGCATCCCCTCACAGATCACCACTGATCTTGGCAGAGAGTTTACGGCGGCAGTGGTTCAGCGCACCATGGACATGCACGACGTGGTTTTGCACCATGTGCCGGTGGGCGCGCCATGGCAAAACGGCATAGCAGAGAGAGCCGGAGGCTCACTGAAGGCAGTTCTCCGGGCCACAATCCACGAGGCGGTGGCAGCTGGCATGGAGGACATGCGGACCGCCTTGGCTTCAGCTCTTGAGGCCGTCAACAACGACGTGGATGGCACAGGGTTCTCTCCGAGTCAGATGGTTCTTGGACGACAACCTCGACTTGTTGGAGAAGCTGGTCCTTCTGACCTTCGAACCCGACTTGCTGCTCACAGCATGGCCTTGGAGACCCCCTCGTTTTCACGCTTGGCGGCGATGAGAGAAGTGGCTAAGCTGGCCATGGTACGACTTCACTACAGCCGAGCTTTGATGAGCGCTTCAGTTGCACGTGCTCGCAACCAGGTGGATTGGAACCAGTTTTCTGTTGGAGACGTGGTCTACTTCTACCGCGAGCAGAAGCCCACAAGCAAGAAGATGAAGATCGTGCAGAGAAGACGGCTGGAGTTGAAGAAGTGGCACGGTCCTGGAGTTCTTTTGTCTTTGGAAGGCAAAGAGATGCCCAATGCTGGGTATGTTGCCTACTGTGGCAATGTGACCAAGGTTGCCATGGAACACCTTCGTCATGCAAGTGCTTTGGAAAGACTCGTTGCCACAGATTGGGACGCAATAGTTGAGGATGTCATCAACGCTGTGGATGACAAACGCCCTGATGACCAACAAGAAGGACTTGGAATTGGTGAGGAGAGCTATGAGCCAACAGAGCCGCCGGAGGAGCCTCCAGAAGTTCAGCCTGAGCTTCTTGAGCAGACACCAACACCTGCGGTGGTTTATCCTTTTCCTTACCCAGCGATGATGCCTGCTTTGGTGCAAAGTGCCCCTTGTTCGAGCTTTTCGTCGCTTCCTTCGAGATTGGCATCAAGGAGACAGTCAACAGAACAGGCTGGTGGACCTTTGCCTACGGTTGGTGAGGACACTTCACAAGAGCCTGATGGTCAACGACCTGGACTTCTTGGAGGAGATCCGACTTCCGACCAAGGAGTAGCTGGTGATGACCTACAACCTCTTCTACCTCAACAGGCAGCGGAGAAAGAACTTCATCATGCACAAGTTCTTCCAGTCGCGGATGGTGGTGCAGCTGCAGCTGAACTACAACCTGGAGTCCCTGCAGGAGAGACGCCTGCAGAATATGGACGGCGGCTGGAGCAAGCGCAAGGTGCTGTGAGAAGAGCACTGTCCGAGCCAACGGACGACAGACAGGCCGTTCGGAGGAGGATCCTGGAGCCTCTTCGACTTGGTGGCAAAGCGATCGATGTCCTCACAGCTGAGCTGAGACATCCACTTCTTGAGGCAGTCAACAAAGCCCAGGAGGACATAGAGAACGGCCATCATGGAGAAGATGATCACGGCAGTTGGGATGGAAGATGGTCTCGCCCGACCGCGCGACAGGTTGAGATCGTCAAGAAGCTTCAGATGACATGGCCTAGTGGTTCCAACAGTGACACTAAGGAGGCTTTGACTACTGCTGCTCACGGACGTGAACTCAAATGGTCAGAGATGGACGAAGACACAAGACAGGCCTTCCGCGTTGCAGCGGCTGACCAGTGGAAAGTGGCTGGAGAATGAGGCTGTGACTGCCTTGAACCCTGAGGAATCCAGAGCAGTGGAACAGGAGCTGGAGATGAAAGGCGAGCTTGAGCGGATCATGAACCCCCGCTTCATCTTGGTGGACAAGAACTCCAAGCTTCGCTCTCCAGAGTGTCCGCTTCCTTTGAAGGCCAACGCACGAATCATCGTGCCAGGATTTCGTGATCTTGCCAACCTGAATGGTGAACTTCGAACTGACTCACCGACAGCTTCAAGAATAGCACAGCATGTGGTGTGTTGTGTTTGTGCCTCGAACCCTGACTGGTGTTTGTTGAGCGCTGATGTCAGAGCAGCTTTCCTCAAAGGAGATCCCTACGTGCAGAGACAGCTGTACATCCGTGGGACCAATCCCAAGACAGGTCCGACGATTGGGATTCCGGCTGGTTGTGTTGCTAAAGCTTGGTCAGGATGGCTGGGTTCGCTCGAGCTTGGACTTGGCATTGTGGCTAAGATTTGACACTACAGGTGCTTTCACAAGCATCTTGGCAGCTCATTTCGACTACTTACTCATGAGTGGTGACAAGGAGGCTGAAGCTTCTCTGAGCCGGTTGGGAGAAAGGATCGGTTTTGGATCCATGGATGCTCCGCCATTCAGCTGGTGTGGCAAAACCTTCACTTGTGAACCTGACGGAAGAGTCACTTTGACCATGGTAAGGTACCACGAGAACCTCACTGGAATGCAGATGCCTCGACAAAGGCGCAAAGATGTGGCAAGCTTGCTGAATGCCACAGAAGTGAGGAAGCTCAAAGGTGTTTTGGGAGCCTTGCAGTGGCTTGTTGCACAGCTGAGATTCGACCTCTCTTTCTCTGTAAGCAGTCTTCAGTCAGAGCGACCAACAGTTGGCACAGTGCTTCGAGTGAACAAGGTGGTCGAGGAGGCCAAGAGGACCAAGGACTTCACCTTGCAGTTCAAGCCGGTCAGCTACACCCATGGTGGCATCATGGTTGTGACCGATGCTGCACTCGGCAATGTGACCGCCAATGGTTGCACGGACGCCATGCCGACCGAGAAGGTGCACTCCCAGTCCTGCTACGCAGTGTTGCTGGCAGACGAGCAGATGATGTTGGGAAAGCCTGGCAGCTTCAACTTGCTCGACTTCAGGAGTCACCGACTTCAGAGAGTGTGTCGCAGTTCCTACGCGGCAGAAACGCTTGGCGCTGAAGAAGGTCTAGACGCAGGAGAACTGTGTCGCGGCTTCATAGCAGAGCTGCGCAAAATCGACATCGCATGTCGATCAGGACATCTCAATGTCTGCGCTGTGAGCCTCATCGGAGTCACCGATGCGAAAGATACCTATGATCGTCTTACACAAGACACTGGGTTTGGCTCGCAGAAAAGCCTGGCTTTCAGCCTTGCAGCTCTTCGTCAACAACTTCGACGGCCATGTACTGGCTACAGGTGGACAAGCGCCACAAACCTCTTTGTGGATGCTGGCGCGAAGCTGATGGACAACTCAGCGCTGCGAGAGACCTTGCAGAAGGGAGAGTGGTCAATCGAGTACAACGAGAGTTTCACCAAGCAGACCAAGAAGTCTGTGAAGACAGCGGTGGCTGTGGTTGAGATGCCCGGACGGGCAGTTCAGGACAGAGACAAGTCCTTGATGGAGCACGTCCTCATGGTGGCAGAGCAGAATGGGTGGCACTACAAAGATGGAACTCCCATCCACGTGGCCCATGGAGCGATGAGTTACCGAAGCCCAGCTCCCCGGTTTGATGTGAACAAGCATCAGTACCGGACTTCGGTTGCCTGCTACAAGAGGAGTGATGGCCAACACGAGTGGAGGATCCTTGAGGAGAAAGCCGACCTGAAGAAGATGGCAAACCTCCAGGCGAAGATGGAAGATCGATGCCATAGACTGGTATCCTTTTTCACTTGTGCGGATCCAAAGGCCACATAAAATAGAAGGCATGTGAATGAGCATGTTTGGCCTTTGGATGTGTTTCACTGCGGCCGACAGGCCTTGAGCATTTGGCTCCAACGGCACAAAGCAGTGTGCGCATTCCGCTTCCTTCGTTCTTTCGTAGGATCTCGGGTGCCGCTGTTTACAAGAATAATAAGAAGAAGAATAAGAAGAAGAATAAGAAGAAGAAGAAGAAGAAGAATATAGGTTGGAGGCCATCGCTAGTAGGGTGGAAGCCATCGCTAGTAGGGTGGAGGCCATTGCTAGCAAGGTGGAGGCCATCGCTAGTAAGGTGGAGGCCAACGCTAGTAAGGTGGAGGCCATCGCTAGTACCGATTAACTCGTGATTTGTCTGGACTAGGCAAGTGAACAAGAGTTGCCGTAGCTCTGGCAAGCAAAAGACATGACATGCTGAGTTTGAATTTGTGGACTGGCCACAGAATTGGGCACCCCCTTGGGGAATCCTTGGGGGCTGCGATCGGAAGAAACAGCCAACAAACTTCGTCCTAGGTTTCCGTGCAATGCATACCTGGCTTCACAACCTGCATTGACATCCGCCTTTCCTTCTGCTCAGGTCCTGCAGTTTTTGCATTGGCCGTCGGTGGAGAACACGGAGTGTCACGCTCCTTGTCTGAGTTTTGGCGGCTTTGACGACGCACGGACCGTCACATACCGACGGGCTTTCCATGCATTTCAAATGAGTTGTTGCTGCATCAGAAATGACAAAAATATGGACACTTTGACGGTTTCTATTCATGTTTGGGCCAAGGAATGTTGCGTTTGCTCTACGATGAGTTGGAGTGCACCTTTAAGTTGCCCAGGTCAAAGTGAGGAAAACAAACACTTGCATCGTTTTGTTGCGTTCTGTTGTTTGGTTTGTTGACGCCCGCAAAATGCAGCATGACTTTGCATACGACTCAGTTTGCCCAGGTTGGCTGGGTGCAAAAACATCTCAGAAGTGCCTTCTCGCATGTTGTCGTCGGTGCTGGCGGCATCAAGTGCTTTGAACGCGGTGTGATGGGAGAAACCGGTGAGGCAAACGCAATCCTGTCGTGGGAGAGGAATTGAATGACAAGTAAGGAGCCAGGAACAGACTTGAACGGGTTGTTTGAGTTGTTTCGATTTGTTTCACTTGGCCGACATGATCTTGCACAACGTATCCGATCATGACTTTTCATAGAGCATTTTTTGTGGAGCTATCTGACAAAGTCAGGCTGCTTTGTTTTCATATTTACCTTCAACGCTCGTGGGGGACTCTGCCGCAACGAATGTGGGACTCCTGTTGACAGGCTCAAGCCAAGTTGATGACACATTCAATATGTTTCTTCAGAGTCTCTCATGTCATGCTAATGTGCATGCAGAAACACTTCCTCTGGCTTACCGGCACCTGAAAAGAAGCTGAAAGGACGTGTGCCGGCAGTGAAGTCGGTCTCAAATGCGTGTGCTACACTGACCAGATACAGGGCGCTCAAAAGGCTCAAAATGCCGTTGTTGCTAGTAGTAGCTTCTAACTACTAGTAGTAATCCCCTCAGCTACTAGTGGCTTCTTGTTACTGTATAGATTGTATTGTTACTACTGGTAATGCCCTTGTTACTAGTAGCGGGAGGAACATGGAGGAACGAAAGGCTCAAAAGGCCGCGCTCAAAAGGCTCAAAAGGTGCAGCTTATCGAGGTGATCAACATCTCGGGATGCAGTGCAGCCGCAGTGCCGCAGTGCCCATTACCTATCAATCCTTACATTTGGATTAATCAAGTCTTCATAAATTAATCAAGTCTCCGACTCCACCAACCATGATGTCTCTGACTGCATGAGCCGACCTAACTGGGAAGGATAGGAAGCTGCGTGTTGACCTGATCGCGCTCTCTCGCTGGCTTGACCCCCGATTGATGCCTGTTTGCAGAGAGACCCTGTTTGACAGGCTTGGGAAAACAGACATGTTCCAACGTCGTGCCTTTGATGAAGCGCGTCCTATCTTGCATCATGCTGACAGGCTGCAGGCACTGGAGCCAGGAGCAGTGCAGCGAGTGCAAGCGCGGTTTGGCAAAACCATGCGTGACACAATAGTACATCTCCTTCGGTTGGAGGCCATCGCTTCTGGGTTGGAGGCCATCGCTAGTAGGTTGGAGGCCATCGCTGGCAAGGCCTAAAGTAAGGCTCACGAGAGGACTAGGTGGACAGTAAATCTCCAGGACCATTGAGCAGTACCAGAGCACCAAGGCCATTGGATGTGAGGTGAAGAAAGCAACTCAGCCACTCATATTTCTTTTTTCAGGTCCTCTCAACAGGAAGTTCTTCCTAGCTTCTTGATACAGGAGCGACATTCAGGTGGAAAGGCCTTTTCTAGAGAAAACACCAAAGAAGATCTTCTTCAAACCCGTTCTTGATCGCCTCCTTTTGGAGTCAAGGAGCCCCGAAGGCGGCAGTGGTCCAGCTTCTTTGAGGAGAGACGCGACCTCTGGCGGTGTGGCTGTGCACGGCTGTGCGCTATGTGTCGTCACAGCCTTGAATTGAATCTGTGGCTATGTGTCGTGGCTCAAGTAGCCCCCAAAACACAGGACTTAGAACATTCATGAAGTGTCTTCATTGATGCAATGTTCTTAGATGTTTGAGATGTGCTTAGAGTACGTGGAACACAAGTAGCAGAATATGATGGCAGTGCCCTTGATGCAATGCGCCGATGGTTGAAGCTTCGTCAGCTTGTTCAACTTGCTCTTTTGCGGAAAACCGTCTCTGCGTCTGCAACTTATCCCGCAGCTCGCTGAGATCAGGATCAGTCAAGATACACTCTGACTCACTAACATGGAAGTGGAAAATGGCCTCTGAGGAAGACCATTGTCCTCTACAAACAGGTGGTTTTCCATTTCTATGTGATGTGTTCGTCGGAGTGTAATATAGATTTTGCAATTAGAATCAACTGAGTCTGAGGTAGACCGATTCTGAACATGTTTCCTTGTGACAGATTGCATCCGAGGAGTGCATTGAAGAAGGCCGATTTCGATTTGGACAAGCCGAGACTAGTGGAGACATGTGAAAATTGAGCAGTGCTCGTCTCTGCAGCGATGTCTACCGCTGACTCTGAGGCATTGTCTACCGTCATGCCGGTGCTCATGGCATTTTTGTTGATCTGAACTTCTTCGGTAGCACTGGATGTTGGCAGAATGATTGCAGGAGAGACAGAGGGAAAGACATTTGGGACTGTTTTGCAGAGCTTCTGAGCAGCTGGACTTGATTGCAGGAGCACAGACAAGTTTCATAGCGATGATGTCGGCATTTGTGCTCGTGCCTGCTGGCAGATTCAGGTGGGAGATGCCTCTTGAAGAGTCTCTAGGTTGGAGGCCATTGCTACTCCGAGATGTCAGTGACTTCCTTTCAGGAATGCACTCACTGGTCCTTCGGTGAAGGATCCTGCTTCTTGAGGACATCGCACATCGGTCAGGAAATCGTTCTCGTCGTTCTCGTCGTTCTCGTCGTTCGGTCAGGAAATCGGAGGGCGGCATGGAGTCCGCCGGCAGCTTCGCCTCGGGACCCAAGGTGCGGCGCAACACGTAGCAGCCGAAAGGATGTCGTAGCGGCTTGGCGGCCACCCGAACATGCACAGAGATGGTGCGAATCACCAATCACCCCTATTTGCCTGAGTATTCAGCGACAAGTGACTCTGAGTAACTCTTCGAAGTTTGGCCAGTTGAAATCGTAGCTGGAATTGATCCAATCTTTTGATTGTTGCTCCTAGTAGCGATGCCGAGAGCCCCTAGTAGCTTCTTGTTACTAGTAGTACGGCCAGGGGCCGCTAGTAGCGTCCTTGTTCCTAGTAGCGATGCCCTTTGCTCCTAGATTGGGATCAGAGATGGGATATATAAGAACTCGTGTTCAGTGGCTGTGACTGGGAGGCTTGCGCCCCTCCGCCGCTGCCGGATGCGTGGCTGGCGCGGCAGGTGGCCAAGCTGCCGGCCTTGGACTGCGAGCTTCTCAGCATAAGTTTGTAGCGATGGCCTCCACCCTACTAACGGCCTCCACCCTACTAGCGATGGCCTCCACCCTACAAACAGCCTCCGCGCTACTAGTGATGGCCTCCTACCTAATAGCGATGGCCTCCAACCTACCAGCGATGGCCTCCAACCCAATAGCGATGGCCTCCAACCTAGCGATGGCCTCCAACCCAATAGCGATGGCCGCCGCCCTACTAGGGATGGCCTCCAACCTACCAGCCACGGCCTCCAACCTAATAGAAATGGGCCTCCAACTTGCAATGGCATTCAATTTAATAGCAATGGCCTCTAACCTAATGGCAATGGCCTCCAACCTAATAGCGATGGCCTTCATCGCTATTGGGTTGGAGGCCATCGCCATGAGGTTGGAGGCCATCACTATTAGGTTGGAGGCCATTGCTATTAGGTTGGAGGCCATTG